TTTTCTGGAGAACGGCTATCCAGAACATGTTATTTCAGTTTACATTAAGGAGAAGATAGGAAATTTCTCGGCTGACGTAAAATTTGGTCTCAAAAGTGCCCGGTCTATCTAAAACTACCCTGGATCGGTAACAGCTCCCTACGTTTTGAAAGCCAAATAAAACAGGCCATAACAAATTGTTTCTTCGCGGTTAACCCACGTGTTGTTTACAGTACAAAAAAGGCCCTTCCGTCCATTCAAAAGGACTGCGTTCCTGCCACAAAAAAAAGTTCTGTTGTGTATGAATTCACGTGCCAGTGTGATTCTGGCTACGTAGGACGCACCACCCAAAGATTGGAGGATAGGATAAAACAACACGTTCCATCTAATATTAGAAACAAAACACATCCCCAAAGAGAACAGCCACCTCGGTCTTGCAAATCCAAAATTACTAATAAAACCTGCGATTCTGCTATCGGGCAGCATTTGCTAGAAAACCCAGATTGTGCAAAAAACTATAATGGCGACATGTTTCGGATTATTGGTAAAGCCCGATCGTCGTTCCACCTAGCAGTTTTAGAATCTATCTACATAAGCACGAAAAAAACCGCTACTGTGTAGGCAAAAGGAGTTCGTTTTCACCTTAGGACTCCATTGGTAACATTCTAATAGGCAAGCGGCACTGATTGGTCAACCTTTACAGTCATGTGCTCGTGTTTCTGATTGGCCTATTTCGATCCACAACTGGGTATATATATTTCTTAGCGTAGAGTTTTTGATCTATGTTCTGACGTTTTAAACTCTGAAGAGTGTCAGACGAAAAGCTTTAGTTTACTAAATGTTTGCTTTTTTCAAAGCTATTTACAAGTTTTGTACCACCAAAAGATTGTTTGAATAAAAAATAACTATACCTTTTTTTCGCTGCGACAATTCTATGTCATCATCGATACCAGAAAAGTGTAATGGCCTGTATATTCTTTGAATTTCAGGTAATTCTATTTCTGGCAGAGAGGGCATTTCAACATCACGTCTGACTTCAATCACATGCTTTTTCTCTTTTGGTCTCTGAAAATATAACAATAAAAAGAAGTGTTGACAGATAAATTAAACCTTCAAAAACATGCAATTTCTCTACCTGATTTATGGCAAAGTGGTAATGTCTAAAGACAGACAACATTAGATAGATGAAGAAAGCAAAAAGACCCTATATGAAACACTAAATATGAAAGATTGGACTAATTCACAAAGTAACTATGGTACAAGTATGTTTTATTCATCCAAGGGTCTTTGGTTTGAGTCAGTGAAATGACCAAGTTTTCACTTTCAGTTAAGAGAATCACTAGCATTCTTCCATCACAAGTGGAGCAAATTTCAAATGTGCTCACTTTGAGAGGAAGGACCAGGACATGCTTGCTAAGTATAAATGCCTGGAATCTTTCAGCATTTGGAGAAATGAGCTGTCATTACAATTATTGATAGGTTGCAGAAACATCAAAATGGCATTTTACAGCCTGCTGTCATTGTCTTGTTGCTTGAAATGATTAATGAATGATGGAAAAATTTGTAAATGATTCAGCAAAGATATTTTCTTTTATTTTCCCCCACTAAGTAATAGCTGTCTGCTTATGATGCTTGCAGTGTTTCAACCAAATGAAACATTCTAGAAAACAACCTAAAAAGTTGTCAATAAGTACAAGAAAGCTGTTTTGAAAGCAAAGAAAATACTGAAAATTAAAAAAATAAATATTTAATCATTATTTCATAAAAATGCCCTATTGCTTCCTCCATAGCGAGTTTAAAGAAATGCCATGGCAACAAAATGAGTATTTCTGTAAAATGTCTAGCTTCTCTCTGTTCTAAAACTTATCTTTGTAAGTTAGGTAGCTACTAGTTTTGTTTCTTTGTCCAAAATAATGTTATAAAAGTTTGCCAGTATATGATATGTTATAAAGAAATGGCTACTTCATGAAAAGTTCATCAAAATAAAAGGACATTGTATATTATACATTGTTTGGAAGTAGCAACAAATGAAGAGCTATCCACCATTGCTGCAAGTGATTTTGTAAAGAAAAACAGATAATAAAGCTGAATTAACTGGATATTTTTCCCTGAATGACTTCATGAACAAGTGACTGTCATTCCCTGCTCACTCTTGTTATCTGGGAAATAGCAAATTATGCAGTAGAAATAAATGCACTTACTGGAAATACTTTATCTGCATATTTTTCCACATGATTTTTACTAGAATTTTCATCTTTAGCCTTTAATTTACTCTTTTTCTTCTTGTTGGAAACTTCATTTCCTAAGAAATCTAATGATACATCTCTCCATGGATCTTTTGATTTACCTATTGAGTTCTTAGAAAAATCATTCCTATTTTGCTTGCTATGTCCTCCTAAATTGCTTTCTTTTTCCAATTTTTTCTCTGGAGCCTCCTTTACTTTATGTTCAAGTTTCATTTTATTATCTTTATCTGTGATAAATTTACTTTTCCACAACTTCAAAAGATCATTTGCAGCATTTCCAAGAATTCCTTCATGCTTTTTCAAAGTTTTCAAAGTCTTTGCAATGTTTGTTGACTAAAACGATAAGAGAAAGAATGCAATGAAGACTGCTTTTTCGAGAAAATATCAAAGCTACTTCATTAAAATGGAAATAAAAAACAAATAGTAAAAACACCTTCAAAAATGAAGGAAATGATTCTTCTTTGAAAAATGATATCAAAACGCCAACTAGAATTTTTTTGTTATCAAAAACTGTGCTTTACAATTGCATTTTCGACAGGACAGGTTTGAAAAGAACAATAGATTCTTCTGCTGATGACTTCCATTGCAAAGATTTTCTTTACCATGCAACAACAGAAACAGTTAACCTCACAAAAAATCAATTTGATTTCACGATTAATGGATTGCATTATTCCAAGCCAAAGCACAATATTGTACTATATTGTATTATAAAACTATATTGTACTGCATACCCACCTTCAGTATGCTGATAGTTACTGGCAAACTTTGAAGATTACCAAGATATTTAATTATCTGAAAGAATACATATATGTATTGAAAAATTTTAAAACAAGAAATATATGTGCTCCTTATAAAGCTTTTCTAGCAAATAAGTTGCTTCGTTTAGAATTCACATTTTACATAAAAAAGACACTCAATCATTTGTACATAGTAACTCTGGTTTGTAACCAATAGAATCTGACCTTAGTATGCTAAACAGAGTTGCCTTTGTCTATCACAAAATCCCTCAGGCTATTATAATAATTTCTGGAAATACAGTAAGCATATACTACCGCCATGCATTTCACTATTGTGTCTTTAGTATAACCAATTTACATCTCTTATTATACTAACCCAATATTATTTTGATATTCTTCCCCTTTTCATTGTTTATCCACATTCTTCTCTTTAAATTGATATTACAGTTTTCTTAGCCTTTATTTTGTCACAGGTACACACCAAATCAGGCATATGACCTAGATAGCTCCTTGTGAGTTTTTTTTATATACATACAACAGCAAACATATTAAACTTTGAACTACCTACTGTATGAAGTTAATTATTGCTGTGAATGGAATGTTTGAGTTTGAGTACAGTCGACTACACTTATATTCAATTGGCTTAACGTCACTTATACTGGCTACAGCAACAGGAATTTTTTGTTACAGTCACAAAGTCAAGAATTTTCAAACAAAATTTGATGAGACTATAACTGGAGTCTACTGTTTGTGGTTCCATATTTAGTGATTTACAAGTGATTTACGTTTGTCGATTTAAAATCCAATTTATTTGAAACTTTTCTTTTTATCGTTTTATGCTAAAACACCGTGCGCTTTTTGTGTATTTGATCTTCATTTAGAGGCCTGATCGACTTTCTGCACTGCCTCAATAAAACCAAATTATTTCAGCATCCAATTGATTTGCAATTTATCTATTTCATCAAATTATGTGTTTTGATGCAATAGGTATAATAAAATGGCCGGCTTTGGTTACCTTGTAGTTGTAAGGAAATATAACAAAAGTTTTCCATAACAAAATATTGAAACTTAAGCAAAGTACGACTTGAAGAAAAACCTTTTTCTGAGGTGCTTGTGGGTCAGTTATCTTTTTCTGAATCTTGGTGACATATTTTATTACCACTTTCTCTTCTTCTTCGTTCATTTTGACTTTCAACAGATACGTCAGCTGAGAAAATTTTAAGCCACCATGATTTAACACCAAAACGAGACTGCAGTATATTTGGTACGAAGGATGGGTTGTAATCATCATCATCATCATCATCATCATCATCATCATCATCATCATCATCATCATCATCATCATCATCATCATCATCATCATCATCATCATCATCATCATCATAAAAAAATTCATGAGTGCCAACCACTGTGCTGCCAACCCCCAGTCAAGGTACGTTAAAGCTTGATTTAATGAAATATGTGAAAGGGTACGCCGTTTATGTGCCCCTTGGCCTTTTGTTTCGGGCACAGCTTGCACGATTGTGGAGTTTGTGTTTATTGTAGCAGTGCTCGAGTAAGCATTATATCGTGTCTTATCTATACGGCTAAAGCAACAAGCGTGCAAGTGTGCATTGGCCTTGGGTACATAAACTTTGCCTTGGCATAGTTTTATTTTCACACGCTACAAGATAACCTGAAGTTAGACGTAGAGAGGAAAGGTTTTTCTTTGCGACCCTGCCCACCCTACCCATATCTAGGTATTTTAGGTGTTTGCAGGCATGTTAAATTCATCTTTCTTTTCTTCGTGCATTAGTTAATGGCCATATGGCTTGCAATTTTTGCATGAACAAGGTGTTTCGGCGGAAGAGGGCCATTGTTTTTCTTCTCAACCCCCTCAAAAACGGTTGGGTTTTTATTTAAGGTCGTCTTTGCGATTGGCGCACCGACAGCCAGTGGTGCGCCATATTACAACTCTTGTTAAGTGAGCTGCAGAAGCGGTTTTCGATAGAATCCTGTGAAATTATGGTGCAGCTTTCAGCATTCAGGGCTTAAATTTCAGGCCATCAAAATGGAATGACGATAACTCGAGAAACCTGTCTAACTATTCAAAGAGATATGGTCTTTCAGAGAAAAGCCTCGCTGTGGAGCACTCCTTATTTGGAAAGTCTGGCTTTTACCAGTTACTTATGAAAGAAATTGAGGAAAGAGCAAAAAATGGTTTGAAAAATCCGTGCCTACCATTAATTTTGAAGCTGTTCAAGGAAAGCGATCTGCAGAACCTCTACCCGACATTGCATAGAGCTCTGATAATAGCAGCATGCATTCCCGTAACAACTGCATCATGCGAAAGGTCACACAGCAGAGTCAAATTAATAAACACTTACTTGCGTGCCAAAATGGGGGAAGCAGACTCGAGCAGTTGGTCATTATCAGTAGTGAGCGAGATATTTCAGGTGCAATAGATCTCTACAGATTTCAGGAGACATTTGCCATAAAGCCAAGAAAACTTCCTCTTCAAGCTATAAACTACAAACATTCCTTAAGCGTTAGAATTTCACTCTTTTGAAAACATTATGTAGTGAATTCCAATTAGAGCCTAAGTAAGAGTATAAATAAGTAAGACTTTTATTTTCATAATACATTCTTGTTTGGAAGGGTGTGGCGCTGGAATATTACAAAAATGGGCAATACGGTATGTTTGAATGGGCGTGGTTCACGAAAAAATTTTCGGGGGCTAGGCCCCGAAATTTCCATTGCCCCCCCCGCATTTTTCAAGCTGGCGCCGCCGCTGCCGACAGCCCAAAAATAAATGGTCCAAATGATTAGAGAACGCAACCTTCAGTCTTATGATTGATAATTGGTAAAATAATCTGAGGATGAGGACCATCTTACAGGGCCGGCGAAACGTATTTGAAAGTGAGGGGGGGGGCAAATATGAAGGTCTTGAAAGGGCTTAGGTTAGGCTGCCACCATGGTTGGCGGCAAGAAATTTTTGAGACTTTTGTATTTTAGGGATGGTTGGAGACAGTATCTAAAGTGGAAAATCCGAGGAAAATCCGAGGAAAATCCGAGGAAAATCCGAGGACGTTTATTGAAGGAAAATCCGAGGCAATATCTTTATGCTTTGTTTAATCAATATGTACAAGTTCAGCAAGAACAGGAGAACTATTAACTAAAATAAAAGCAAATTGAGCAATTTGTACACTTGGGATATTGTTTTGTAACGTCTGATCTTAAATATTTCGGAAAAAAGGTGCTTTTAACAAAAATCAAAAAAAGTTTTAATAGAATTTACAATTGCGTCTAGATTTTCTTTTTTAGTAGCAATGGATTATCGATACAATCAAGTATTGAAGTTTTCTTGATTTTACTTTTTTAGAACAAATCTGCCCATTCTTTTTTTCTCATGTCCTCTAAAATTTTCCCTATCGTCAGTTTCTTTCCCTTCCACATCGCTAGCAATTCCTCTCTTTTTGCAATGTTCCTGAGAAATTTGTTGTTAACAAATAGACCTTGTGAGCCACAATGGATAAACTTCCTTTAAAGAAAATTTCGGAAAATTTCGGATAAAAGATACTACCAATATTCTAAGGGGCAAAACCACCAGCGGCTTCAGCACCCTCTTGGAATATGGCTTAATTCTTCTTGCAGCTTCTTCACATATAACAGCATTTCTGGAAAATCAAACAAATGCGGTTTTTTCTCTGTTTATGTGTAGGCAAATCAAATGAGATGCTAGCACTCAAAGAGTCGCTACTCACTATCAATATAGTATGAAAAGTTATATAACCGAGCATAACTGAAAGTATAAGCATAAATTTATGTGTAAAAATCTTGAAGTATAAAAGCCTTTTGAATACGAAAAGGTGGTCTGGAAATTTCGCTATCTTTACTTGTGTTGAAAAAGAAATAGTACAGTTCTATAGAAAGACAGAGGTGAAATCACTTTTGATAGTTAGAACTACTTTAATCACTAGCAAAAGACAGCTAGAACTACTTTTGTCGAACGATGGTGAGGATGAATGTAGTTCAAGAACCGACAATGATGTTGATGAAGAGGATGATGATGATGATGAGGATCATATGAATAAGGATAATGACGTTATTTGTATCGAAATTATTAAAAGAATACATAACCTTGATTTTTGACCTCACAAAATAGTTTTTTATGCAAATAGTTTTCATCGAGATGTCTTGAAGAGGAAACAAATAAACACAAAGGAAAAATGTTTTATATTAAAACAAGATACATTAATTTTGTCATTAACACCTTTCATTGTCTACGTATCCACAGTAACGTAATCAGCAACAGTTTTGTAGCGTCCCCTCGTATACGCCCTGTATTGTAATTTAATTCAGTTCAGTTAGAATCAAAACACGAAATAGCCATATCGTCTCTTCTCTGGCTCCGCGTTCTCTGCAAGTAAAGTAAGACAGCATTGTTTGGAAATGACACGTTATAGTCTGGGCTGTTAGAACATGAATCGTGAAAATTGTGATACCAGCATGATAATGGGTACACTGGGGGTAATTTCACACGCTGATGATGATACTGAAAAGACACAAGCCGAAAAATGCCCCCAAGTGCTATTTTAGACTGGGGTACTTGGCCCCAGTCCTCGAATTGGGCCAATCTCCATATGTCATTACTGATTTATGAAAAAGGTGGGAAAGGAAAGATTTAGGTGCATTATCATATATTAAAATGTATTAAGAGAAAAGGAAATGAAAAATTGCCCCTTTATGCTATTTTTAGAATATGAAATTGGTACCCATGTCTCTATTTAGGCATTCTTCTCTAAATAATTACTCTCTTTTATATGAATAGGAAATGTAGCTTTCTCTATTATTTCAACAAACTGAAAAGTAATACGAAAAGATGTAATTGACAATCTTACTCCTTGATGCTATTTTTAGAATGGGGTGCTGGAACTCAGTTCTCGAATTTGGGTTTTACCTTCATAGTCTAGGCTCTAAGCACAGTATTTGACATGAATTGTGCAAATTGTGGTACCAGCATGAAAATGGGTACACTAGGGCAATTTGACACGTTGATAATGATGCTGAACAGATACAAGCTGAAAAGTGCTCCAAGTGCTATTTTTAGACTGGGGTACTTGACCCCAGTCCTCAATTTTGAATTTCATCCGTGCGGAGTTAACTGAAGTTTAAATTGAGCATAAAGGCGTCTTCCAGACAAGAGCAACTTGGAATAATACAACAATTTCTGTGAAAATCGTCTTTCATCAGCTTCTCCTCCAGACAATTCCAATCATCCTTACATATATTGCGCTGTTGCAAATTCCACCATGGAGGCAGTAATTTGCTTTCGAAGGTGCAGGGCACTCTGAGGCATATGATATAGCAGAAGATAGCTAGCAACATGAGACAAAGACGAGAAAAACAAAGCAGAAACACCAATTCCGTCCCAATCATGATCAAAGAGTGCATATCAACCTCATTGGGCGAAGAGGAGATAATAGCAAACCATGACTTGAAAAAATCTAAAGACTAACTTGACTGCAAACGGCGAGGAACAATAAATAAAAGTATAAGAAATATCAGGTTACTGTTCATGGCTGGTGAAGAACAACTTGACTGCTAACGGCGAGAAACAATAATTATAAGTATAAGAAATATCAGGATACTGTTCATGGCTGACGAAGAACAACTTGACTGCAAACGGCGAGGAACAATAATTATAAGTATATTTCGATCCACAACTGGGTATATATTTTCCATTGTGTTCGTTCGGACACATATTCTGACGTCTTATATTCTGAGGAGTGTCAGACCAAAAGGCTTTAAATAGTATGTTGTGAAATGTTTGCTTTTTTCAAAGCCATTTTCAAGTTCTGTACCGCCAAAAAATTGATCAAATTATCAGGTTTCTGTTCATGGCTGGTGAAGAAAAACTTGACTGCTAACGGCGAGAAACAATAATTATAAGTATATTTTGATCCACAACTGGGTATATATTTTCCATCGTGTTCGTTCGGACACATATTCTGACGTCTTATATTCTGAGGAGTGTCAGACCAAAAGGCTTTAAATAGTATGTTGTGAAATGTTTGCTTTTTTCAAAGCCATTTTCAAGTTCTGTACCGCCAAAAAATTGATCAAATTATCAGGTTTCTGTTCATGGCTGGTGAAGAAAAACTTGACTGCTAACGGCGAGAAACAATAATTATAAGTATAAGAAATATCAGGATACTGTTCATGGCTGGTGAAGAATAACTTGACTGCAAACAGCGAGAAACAATAATTATAAGTATAAGAAATACCAGGATACTGTTCATGGCTGGTGAAGAACAACTTGACTGCAAACGGCGAGGAAAAATAATTATAAGTATAAGAAATACCAGGATACTGTTCATGGCTGGTGAAGAATAACTTGATTGCAAACAGCGAGGAACAATAATTATAAGTATAAGAAATACCAGGATACTGTTCATGGCTGGTGAAGAATAACTTGATTGCAAACAGCGAGGAACAATAATTATAAGTATAAGAAATATCAGGATACTGTTCATGACTGACGAAGAACACCTTGACTGCAAACGGCGAGGAACAATAATTAAAAGTATAATAAATATCAGGATACTGTTCATGGCTGGTGAAGAATAACTTGACTGCAAACAGCGAGGAACAATAATTATACGTATAAGAAAGATCTGTATTGAAGGCTAGTACATCTCGGATGTGTAAATTTCGTCCTGCTCGCTTACTGAATTTTCTGATTGAAGGATGTTTGTTAGGGCTAATTTTCTTCGATGTTTCATGGCGTATCGGTCTATCACCTCTGCGACGTCGACTTTAATGTCCCTATGGGTATATAAAGTTGCCAAACCATTTAGCCTTTCTTGTGACATTGTGCTTCTCAAATATGTTTTCAAAAACCGTACATACGAGGCGGCACGCTCACACGTGCAACTTGTTACTGGTAAAACTGCAAGAATTTTCAAAGCTGTGAAGATGTTAGGAAAAGCAATCTTGTTTACTTTTTGCAATGTTTCTGCAATGGTTTTTGGAGTATTTTCTTCACAGCACCCACTCCAAGCAGATTCCCAATTGTCGACTTCATGTGAGAGGTTATCAGGATCTGGAAAATCACTTGCAAAGAAAATACAAAATTGAAGAAAGTCTTTTTTCCAATTCTTGTCAAGGCGCTGAAAGGTAATTTTGGCTTTTGGCTTTGCACTTTCATTTCCAGTCAAGTGGCATTTCTTCCCGTAGCAATCGTGGTCAGTTGAAGCATCGTGCTTTCGCTTGGCACCAACTTTCATGGGTGATTGGCCTTCTTTTTTTAAATAAGCTGGGATGATGGAAAATCCTTTTAATGCAGAGCAATTTTCGGAAGAAAATCTTCTTGACATTTCTGAAATAAGATGGTCTAAAAATGGGATAGCTACATTCAGCTTATAATGACTCTCAACATCATTTGAGGGTGTATTTGAACGGTGTTGCTGACTTCTGCATACTCTCGGAGCCCTTATGTCAGCACCAACCTCCTCTGCCATTTCACTAGCTTTGTTGAACCAGGCTCTGTGATACAAATCAACTTGATTCCTCGCAGCTTGCAGTGAAGACATCATAACATCAACTTCTCTCAGTCCTTTCAGAAGGTCAATGTCAGCTCCTTGCAGCTGTATTGTTGCTGAAAGAGTGTAGCCAAGACAGTTGCTGACAGTTACAAGTGTTTGTATAAATTCAAAGCTTGTCACAATAGCTGCCAACCCATAAGCCTCTGCTGCAGAAGACGTCCAGGTGTTGTCAGTATTGTCACAAATTGCAAACAAAGCTTCAGATATTGCTTTAAAAATCTTAATGAAACGCTGAAGACCATCAATGCGCATTATCCAACGAGTTCGACAAACATCTACCAGTTTTGTTTCTTTCACATCAGGATGAAACTTCTTTATCATCTTCTCTAAAAGATTCTGTTTTTTTGGAGAATTGTTAAAAAACTTTGAAATTACCTTAACATTCTCCATCATGTTCCTCACTGTTTGTATTTGACATGAGCTCGCTACACATAAATTTAACCTATGGGAAGAGCAATGTGTATATAACGCAAATTCATTCTGCTCTAAAATTCTAGTAGACACACCAGAATATTTGCCTGACATGTTTGCTGCACCATCATAACACTGCCCTCTACAGTCTTGCAAATCTAAGCCAAAGTCATTTGTAATACAGTCAACAATTTTTTCTGCTAAAGCTTGTCCTGAAGTTCCAGTGTCACAAAGTATGTATTTAAGAAACCTTTCCTTGATGCAACCAGATTTATCAACATAACGTATAACAAGTGGCATTTGCTCTTTATTAGAACAATCAGTAACTTCATCAGCTAGGATTGAAAAATACTTTGACTGTTTTATTTCATTGATTATCTGTTTGGTTATGACTTCAGCACAGCAAATTATCAGCTCATTCTGTGTTGTTTTGGACCTGTATGTAGCATTTCTTGGGGCAGTTGCAAAATGCTCTTGAAGAACCTTGTCACCACTATCCACACGAAAATCCAAGAGAGCTTGAAAAATTCCACAATAAACTGTTTCATAATAATCAGAATCATCTCTATGTCCACGAAAAGGTATGTTGTATCTGCCACAAAGAAGCACTGTCATGATTATGGATGCAAGAATGAGTCTGTTTTCTTCAACCTTTTTATTTTGTACATGGTCATGTATTTGACTGACAGACTTCACTTTATTTTCCATAACAAGGATAAATTGATGCATTGTTAACACTGATGTTTTGTGAACATCAGACTTTGTTTCATGATCATTGAATCTACGGGAGGCACAAGACCAGTCAACAAAGGGGCTTTTCATTAATTTGTCTAGCTTTGCAGCATTTGATCCAACTCTTCGACCAAAAAGTACACATGGCAAACAAAAAGCACCATCCAAGAATCTAGAGTAGGTCAGCCAAGAAAATTTTTGCAGCCAAGTAGGGAGAAACTTCCTGTTCTTATTGCATAATATGCGAATGGGAAACTTGAAATTGCCATCAGGCTGCCAAACATTTGACAAAATATCATATTTCTGCTCATCCGAAAAAGTGTCTGCATTAAGGTAGAATGTGCCAATGTCATATTTTGATGGTTCCAAAGGAGGATCAATGAAAGGTTTTTCTGTTTTCACCACAGGAGAATGTTGTTTTGGAGCAAAAGAAATTGTTGTTTGCTTTTTTGGAGTCTCTTCGACCAATTTGGATGTGTTCATAACACTAATCTTGACTGATTTTGTTGACAAACATTTTGGAGATTTTGTTGTTAAAATGGTCACTGGATGTGGACTGCTTAAAATAACCAATGGAACAATATGATCAGCTTGAAACCATGGGTTTATAGATTCTCTTTTCCCACCAGACTTGGTCCATAAAAGATGAATTGGTTCCCTGCCTACTGTGCAGTCAGCTTGGGGATTTAGTAACACATTCATCAGCCTAGCAGTATGTTTGGTTCCAGTCTCCGGAAAGCATGACATAATTGGAGTTTTTACAACAGTAGACAATGCCATCATACAGACAAATGAACTAAATCTACAGGGTCTGCAATTAAGCTCAGCCTCTAACTTTATGCACTGTTCAAAGTTCTTAATTTCCTTATTGAAGTGGTTTTGTGCTTCAAAACTTATGCATTTTGCAAACAAGGAAGAAAAGATTTGAGAAGATTCTTGCTCATTAAAAAGATCAGTGACTTGAGAAAGTGTGGAATAAAAATGAGAATGAAGAAATAGTTCAGCTGATGTCAATGCCCTCAGAAGAAAATTGAGATTTTCATGCCCACACATAGCCAACGAGCATGCATTGTACAGGCAGTTTCCATCACCAATGGTGCTAATGAGAGGAAACAGGGACACAATTTCAGAATGAAATCTACAATAAAATTTAATCAGGAACAAGCTGTTGTGATCAGGCATTTTATCAGATTTTGCTTTAAAATACCCCTATCTATTATGATTATTCAATGAGATTGACTCTATGTCTAAAAAATGATCAAAGTGTAACATTTATGAACATTTCTTGCAAATTAAAAAATAAAATTATATTACACAAATGTGGAGCACAAACACTTGCTTACTTTGAGCTAGGAATGGATAAATATGGTACATATTTTTGCAGTGAGACCTGAGACTTTACTTATAATTTGGCCGTTACATTTGCCTATCAGCAAAATTGGTTATAATAAGATCTGTTGGACATTCCCCCCCCCCCTGCCCCCCCAAATGGTTGGCTTTGAGAAACTGTACATGATTTGTAGTCTCTGGGTATATTTTTTCTACAGAAAATAACAAGAGTTCCCTTTCTTGCAGATAACTTTTCATTTTAAGGCTCAGGTATCTTTTAGGGTAAAACATAAACCCCTGAAAGCAACATAGAGACCTAATCTCAATCTTTTTGTGTAAGAAGAATTATGTTTTGTACACTGCATTTTGCTAAGAAATGGTTTTGCATCTACGAACCTTAAAGGAACAATGCTCTTGTCAATCCCCACATCCAATCGACCTCGTGGGATGAAGATGCTGGCTGAATCATCTCGTGGCAATGAAGCCAGGTCAGATAACCCCACTCTTTTCTCCGTCTCAAAAACCAAGGGCTGGTTTTCAATCATAAAATTTTCAATGGCAGCAATATCATCGTTTTTAATGAGAGAAGAAATTTTGTGAAGGAATTCCATCTCCCGGATTCTTTTGACAGCAAGTTAGATGCACATACAACCCAAGCAAATTCTGGCGCTGCTGCAGTACACTCGTGTTGTTGCTGTCAACTGGCCCTAGATATGCTTATTGCTAAACATCATAGGTCGCCTCTACGTTCTTACAGATTTTTTTCCATTCAGTTTTCCTACAGACTTTGCATACTGACTATCAAACATACATCGCCTCGACTAAGGACAATAGTTTTTAGTATGCAAGCCTTCCTACTTTGTTTTTCATAATTCATTCCACAAAAAGCACTTTGTTGACTAGAATAGAATTCCATAAAAGGGAACGTAACAAAAGACACGCACGGTTGAAGCGCGCTCCTTCGCATTATAGAACCTGGTGCAAAAAGCCTTACGTTGTTTCTCTTTGGTACATGGTTTATTAAAATGACAGAATCTCGTTGGATTAGACTTCTTGACAAAATAATTTTTTTATATAACTTGTTCTTATATCTAGCAATTCGACTGCCTTCTGTAAGAACTGTAAGAATGCCTGGATCCGCCCCTGACAATAAGGTCTGTATCCATATCCTGAAGATAATATGACAAGTATTTTGCAGAAAACCCGGGAGAATCACACTGACCATCTCCAGCAAGTTTGCATGGCTCCTTTATATTTAACTTGATTTCATCTGTCAAACATTTCCACCATTCTTCTATAACTGGCACCATGTACTTTGACTGATATTTGGTAAAAGTACTTTTGCACAACAGGTTGATCCCAGCAAACTTACACAACTTCTCAATCTTCGAGTAAATGTTTCCCGAAATAAGGATTGCTGACATCACCTGAATGTTGTTAGCAATAAGACCTCTTACTTTATTGGAAGTACAGAACTGTCCACGGTGCTTACTTGTACATTCATATGTTACTGTTGCACTTGTGCCACAAAAAGTCACATCCACTTTCTTTTCAAGAAGGCATCCATTTACACCACAAACCCCTTGGAATAGCTGTTTTAGGAGGTCAACAGAAATTAATACTTTCTTATCATTGATTACAGCAAGTTCCTCTGGGTAATCATCTTCTTTCCACGGCATTGAAAAGAAGTCATGTGGGCCAAATGTAGGTTGGTATATTGGCCTGCTTATAACTGGGGGCAATGTGGATGTTTGCACTCCAACATGGGCAAAACTGGTGCATTCCTGTGATTCTAATGTCATTGACAAGTCATCTAGACGTGAAACAGAGCTCTCTGCATCATCTGTGATAATGACAAATTCTTCATCAGTGTCTTCATTTAACTGTACATCATCTTCCTCATCACTTTGATATTGAATGTCGTCTAAATCATTCTGCTCCTTTACCCAATTTGCTAAGTCATTTCTATGAGAAAGCAATATCTTTATCTAGAGTTCAGCAAAATCCTACATAGCTTAGGTTACATTTGATTTACATTCAACTTACACAGCTGGCTTACTCATTACAATTAGCGACTGCCCTGTTGTAATCTGCCATTTTAAACCTGATTGATTGATTGATTAAGTCAAGATGCTATGCAACAGATTGAAATATGTAATTTTGTACAGAAAAAATATAAATAGTAGGGAAAGTACTCCTGAAAGGTCTTCACAGTATGACAGCTATTGAAGTATGACAGTATGGAGTATGAAAATTGCCAGTATGGCAAGATGAACATGTGTTGAAATAAGTACTGCAATTTGGATTACATATATACCTCTTCAGTCTCCTCTGGCTAATATATTATACAACAGATAAAGGCATAACAATTACACTTACGTGTCATCAACACCTATGGAAATTGTCGAATCATCATCACCATCTTCAAATGCATTTATCTGGTCAACAGCCTCTTTCACATACCTGTTGAGTAAATAATAGGAATAATGTTTTGAATTTTATATCAAGAAAAAATTTAATGATAGTTCTGTAGCTTGATTTTGGAACAGCAAGCAGATTGACCTTTCATTGAAATGATGACCATTATCTTTCAAAGGAAGTTTGTCTCACAAACAAAGTAAATGGCTTTATTACATCTACACCATTCAAATAAATCAAAATAAAATATATGCACAAATAAATCATAATGAATACCATTTCTTGTCATCTTCAAATGAAGCAATGTCTCCAGATACTGTGCTACTTATTGAAATTGCATCAGAGCCATCATCACTTTCTGAGTCAGAGTTCAAAATTGTCACATTTCCTGTCTTGTCAATGGAAACAGAAATGTTCTCAATATCAACAATAAGTGTATCATCAGAAGCAATTTGCTGATCTCTGGTCAAGATAGGACTTTGGTGAGTCCTTGGTTCTTGTTCGATTTCTTTTTTAGGTGTTGAACACCTCCTGTTCCCTGTAGCAAAGATAAAACTATGAATTAAGAAACACATAACTTGAACAACAAAGTTATGATCTAAGTGACATTTCTATTCTGATTGGAAATTTACATTTAAAAATTGCAAAATTTTCATAGCTGGTACCATTTTCCTTATATGATTGTGACAACAATTTCCAACAATAAAATCACATTATCTTTTATAAATTTTAACAGGATTCATCTATTCCATCAATCTTTTCCATTTAGATTTAGTTCTAAAACATGGGCAACTCACAAGCTTGATTTTTCAGCTTATTCTTTCTGGGCTTTGCATCATCTCTTTTGTTATCTGAACCAGCAGCACAATATTTGTACCTAAAAATAAAGGTTTGACACTGACAAAAGAGTTCACCAATTTGAATTACATTTACCATCAAACTTTTGGTTTTAGGTTTGTGCCCACATGAAGTTTGTTTATTTTTCACAATTTTGGGTAAGGCATTAGAAACAGGTTAGGTCAAGATCAAGGTCTATTCCATACTGTAAACTACAGGTAATGCACACTGACATAACAATAGTTTTTATATTTCAGAAGAAGAAATCAATTTTAGCGTTACTAAATTAAAACAATGCCTTAAAAAAGGTTTTTCAGTCAATACATGATAGATCAGGTCTAGGCCAAAAGGCAAAAGGAAGGAACATGATCTAAGCGATTATTACCTGTCTCTCCGGCGAAATTCCAAGGATATAAGATGGGAAGCAAGAACAGAATCACTTGAGAATGTTCCTGTTGCTTTCAATAAGGACCACTGCTCAAACACTTGGTTTGTTAAATATATCCTCTTGTGCAAACTTTGCCATGATCGAACAGACTGTTTTTGTTTCTTCGCAGCAAACTCAGTCAAATTCGGCCTTCTCCTCTTCCTCTTCTCCATGCGCACGTACAAAATATATCAATAAAATAATAAAAACGACTTTCCTTTTAACAATTCCCTTTTCTAACTACTTGCTCCTCTTGTGCTCAAAGCTATGCAGAAAGATTGCGGTAGGCAATTTTCCTATAAAGAATCCAATGACAAGATTGATCTTTCACCCAAAGATCAACACAAACTGCGCGCGTAGCGTCCCGCGGGCAAATTTCTTATCCAGTCCCTTTGAATCAGCGATCGATATTTCTCCATTGGCCAAAATAGCATTTGAGACAGTCGCAAATGCACTAGCTTCAGTGCAGCAAAGTAGCAAATCCCTCCATTTAGTTCCTTTGTTCTTTACATCTAACGCTTTCAGTTAACCTTCAAATTGCAACGACCATTGTCGAAAAATAAGAGAATTGTCTCCTAGAAAAGGTGCTCTAAAAATAGCCTGTTCTACCTCAACCTGGCCAGCTTACTGCAGCTGGCGAGTTTCCCATCCTTGCGGTCGAAACCAAAAGAAAAAACAGATAAAGCCCAACTTAGCATCATAGAATGTCATACCTTCCTCGATTCCACCACCACAAAGTCTGAAAGACCAGAACGCAGGACAGCCCTTGTAGCTAGGGCACTTGCACGTTATGGAGTCGACATAGCAGCTCTCAGCGAAACACGTCTTGCACATAACTCCTTACACCCATGCAGCGTATAGTTAGAAAAACACTAGATAAAACAATTTGAATATAGTACTCAAGATCATGATGCTTTCTGCATTTAGAGTTATAAGAATAAACTTTTTGGTACAAATATTTTGCTACAAAAGTCTTGTCGGGTCTGTCTGAGAAACTTTCTCACGAATTTCCGTCTGCTGTATGTATCAGAGTCTGGTTGACGGTTTTGTCGCTCACGTGCTGAAAGAAAATGGGCAACAGCTGGCCATGGATCATAATGAGCTGTTCCAACACCGTTTAGGGCAATAAGCAGTCTGGCGTTGATTGTGTCTTCAGTCATGTTTGTTCTTGAATCTTCAACAATGATGTTCTGATGAGACACAATCCTCTCGGTTTGCATGGAATGTGGTGACATACTTCCAATAGCAGCTAGCACTTTTTGAACGGTGCCATCTGTAATAGGCAAGAGCTTTCTCAGACGTACTGATAGTTTACAACCAATGTCGCTTCTATCTGGAAGATGCGGCACTTTTTCGATTTTGTCCCACTGTTCACAACATTCATCTGCAAAGCGACCCTCTTCCCCTGGAAAAAGCCTCTGGGTCATCCCTATTCCTTTTTCCACAAATTTCCCCAGGGTACTTGCACTCAACAATTCGCTCATACTCAACAAAATTTCTTCTTGCTGTGGGTGCAGACGCTCACTTAGAAAATTTTTCGCTGAAGATGTTATTTCAATGCGAATTGCAGATTCATTTCGTCTGTTAGTTGGCACCAAAGTGTTGTGCGTTTGTCTTGCTCTCTGTGTTTGGATGTTTTCCCACGGTAGTGTAGTTTTTGATTCACGCTTTCCAGGGTAGGGTGTGCCGCTCAACAAATCAAGTTTCCTTTGTGCCATGCTAGAACAAGTGAATATATCTGGAAGCAGAAGATCATCCCGTTGCATTTGCTTCTCTAAGCTTGTGAAAACCTCGAATATATCACCCATTAGTGCTGTGAGCCAAATCTGTCTTTCGTTCCACGTATTCAGATATCCTGAAGCCTCCCTCTTATCTTTGCGGTCTCCATTTCTTGTAATTTCTCCCGAAACTTGTTTACATCCTTTGATGTTCGTAAGAACAACATCTATTAGTGAGAGGAAATGTTGAGCAAACCGTACGTCATGATGCCGTGGAAATTGCTTCATCTCAATAGCTGCTTTCTCCAGCATTTTCTTTTTTGAAGTTGATGTACGAAAATATGTAGCAACACCAATCAGTGATGACTTCCAAATCTTTAGCTCTGGGACAGAATTGATAATTGCCTCGGTTGCAAGATCTGAACGATGGGCACAGCACCAGAATGTAAAAATGTTCCTTTCCAACTGGTCACCGAGAAGCTTCCAAAGCCCGGCATTTCGCCCAGTATTTGCAGCTTCACCATTGTATTTCCGACTAATTTATCTTCATTTGCCTCACATACCTTTAAAGCTTGATTCACAGTCTTGAGCAAGCTATGGGTCCCTCTTTCTTCTGGAGAGTGCATCACCATAAAAACTGTACGCCTGTCGCCATTTGTCATTGTACTACTGACAAAATTGTGATCTCTCATGCATTCCAGAAACATTTTTTTTACTTTCTGCAGTTCAATGGCTTGAACTGAAGACAACATATCTCTGTAGCACATTGGATCCCTGTAGTGTAACTCAGCATTTGTTGGTTTAAACTCTGGTAGAACTGCATCTGGACCTTCATTTTCCATAAGGGGTATGAGTCGAGTGGCTGCAAGCGTTGTTAAAGACCTTACTGGCCATGAGTGAGCAGAAATAGTTTCACAAAGACAGTCTTTGTATAAATGAAATGCCATGTTTACCAAAAATTTAACTACATTGGTGTTGGCTTTTTTTAAACCGTTCAACCATGGATGATTAGCACTTTTCTCTTCCCACATCAGCTCCAATTGCTTCTGATTTCTCGTTGCTTTGTGCATTTCTGAAAATACATGATCAATTATAAGTTTGAGTCGTTCTTCATCATCTGCTCTGACCCCATTTGCAATACCAATTTTTCCATTTCGCGAGTATTTCTTTGCCTCGTCCAAATATTCTTTGCATCAATTGCAAACAACATGAAGACGTTTTTTCCCATTCTTCTTTGCTGTATAGCTTTGCAGTTCTGGAAAACTTTCAATAATGAACTTAAGATCCAGCTTCATCCCGTGGTAATAAAATACACTAGCTGTTTTTTGTGTTTGAACAGTGTGTGTTGATTGCTGCGGGTTGTTAATATCTTGGCTTTCAATTTCTTCCTCTTGAGGTGAATCTGGATGGCTGGAGGCTCCTATTTCTTTCTCTTCTGTACCTTTGTTGTCCGTTTTTAATTTTGATCCATAAAAATTTGTTAATTTTCTGCATTTTGAAGCAATTTCTTGATCTTCTTTCTGCTTTCTTTTTAACGAGCGTTCAGATCTTGGCATGTTTGGAGATCAATGACGCAAGCAACTTTTCCCACGGATTTCATGGCCTTGCCTTGGTGTAGTGCGTCAAACAGAGATTGGTTGACAGCAATAAGACCAAAGAAATAACGAATAATTTGACACATATAACACGACAACGACACAACGAACAGTAATTGGAGATAAGTCAAATTGGTGTTTAAAACAATTTTCAACAAAAGGGCACTTGCTAGTGGGGAATCATGGGCCAACTAGTGGGGAAATTTTTGGGCCTGGTGGGGATTTTTCCCACTATTTTGTATGTGAAAAGATCCCCTGGTTGCCGCAGTATTGATGAGCGTCGCAAGACAGGTGTTGGCTTTGCTATCAAAGACAAACTCATGAAGAAACTTGACAGCACCCCAGAAGGCCTGAGTGATCGTCTTATGAGACTTAAGCTCCCTCTTGGCAAGAAGAGATATGCTACTCTCATCAGTGCCTATGCTCCCACTATGACCAATCCTGGTGAAATAAACGAAAAGTTCTATGAAGAACTGGAAGCCCTGATCTCCACAGTCCCACAGTCAGACAAGCTCATCCTCCTTGGGGACTTCAATGCCCGTGTTGGCAGAGACCACCTAGTGTGGGAAGGAGTCATCGGTCATCATGGTGTGGGGAAATGCAACAGTAATGGCCTACTCCTGCTCAGGACCTGCGCTACCTATGGACTCGCCATCACCAACACCATGTTTCGTCTTCCAACCCGCAACAAAACTTCATGAAGCACCCCCGCTCAAAGCATTAGCATCTCATCGATTATGTCATTGTATGGGCCAAAGACCGTCAAGATGTGCGAGTGACCAAAGCCATGTGTGGTGGTGACTGCTGGACAGACCATCGCCTCATCATCTCAAAGACTAAACTTTTCATACAGCCCTCAAGAAGACCTCAAGGACAGAAAGTAGCGGAGCGACTGAACGTCAAAAAGCTGAAACTTCCATCTGCACAGAAAGAACTATCAGCCACTATGTCGCAACAGCTGTCAGTTATCGATGGCAACGACTGGGACTCTCTTAAGACAACCATCCACTCTGTTGCTCTCCAGGTACTCGCCCCCAGAAACCACCAAGACTGGTTTGATGAGAATGATGCTGGTATTCAGAAATTGCTAGAGGAAAAGCGTCAGCTCTACAAAGCCCATCAGGATGACCCAAACTCTGCCTCAAAGAAATATGCATACGATGACAAGCGCAGAGAAAGCTTCGTACCATGCAAGATTCATGGCTCAACAATAAAGCTGAAAAAATCCAAAACTATGACGATACACACAATATAAAGCGTTTCTATGACTCGCTGAAATGCATATATGGGCCATCAACATCAGGCAACTCACTCATGCTCAGCGCTGACGCTTCAACGCTTATTGAACGCCTCCCCCAAATAGTTGTCAATGAAGCTCTTGCCATCCCCCCCTTGGAAAATGACGTTGCCAAAGCAACGAAGCAAATGTCATCAGGCAAAGCCCCATGCCCTGATGCAATTCCAGCAGAGATGTTCACGTCGGGTGGTCCTTCTCTCATTGCAAAGCTGACAGAGCTGTTTCAATCAGTATGGGTAAGTGAAACCCTTCCTCAAGAGTTCAAAAATGCTACAATCGTTCACATCTACAACAGAAAAGGCAATAAGAGGTCCTGCGACAATTACAGGGACATTTTCCTTCTTGCAATCGCTGGCAACATCCTGGCCCGTGTCCTCCTAAACCGTCTCCTGAGACACCTTGAGCAGGGTCACCTTCCCAATAGTCAATGTGGATTCTGCAAAGATTGAGGAACCATTGACATGGGTTTTGCTGCCCGGCAGCTACAGGAAAAGAGTGTGGAGCAATACCAGGATCTCTACATGACCTTTGTGGATCTAACAAAAGCTTTTGACTTGGTTTGCAGAGAGGGCTTGTGGAAGATCATGTCAAAGTTTGGTTGCCCGGACAAGTTTGTGAGGATTGTGAAGCAGTTTCAGGATGATGATGGTGGTGTCTCTGTCCCGATTCCAGTGACAAATGGCGTGAAGCAGGGCTGCGTCCTTGCCCCATCACTCTTTAGCATGATGGATGCTTTCAGGGAAACCACCCCTGGCATTCAAATGCAGTACAGGTGTGATGGGAAGCTCTTCAATTTACGACGCCTCCAAGCTGTCACTAAAGTCAGCGAAACTATGAGTAGAGATCTCCTCTTTGCCGATAACTGCGCACTCAACGCCTCCAAAGAACAGGATATGCAACAGGTCAGGGACAATTTCTCATCTGCCTTTGACAACTTTGGCCTCACCATAAGCATGAAGAAGGTGGAAGTGCTGTACCAGCCTACGCCAGGAAATTTGTATCAAGAACCAAACATCACAGTGAAGGGTCAGAGGCTTCAAGCCATGGAGCACTTCACCTATCTCGGTAGCACACTATGTCGCTCTGCAAACATTGATGCTGATATCAACAACCGCATTGCTAAGGCCAGTAGTGCATTTGGGAGGTTGAGGAAAACTGTATGGGAGTGAAGAGGTATCTTACAGGACACAAAAATTTAAAGTCTACAAGGCAGTTGTATTATCTACTCTACTGTATGGTTGTGAGACTTGGACTATCTACAGACAGCATGAAAAACAACTACAACATTTCCATCTCCGGAGCCTTCACAGCATCCTCAACATCTGCTGTTTTCATGACGCAATTTTTGAGTCATGGCTTTTTTTCACAAGATAATATTGTGATGAATAGGCTAGTCCCTTATGGCTATAAGATCAAGCATCAGTCCCGTGAAAACAGAAGAGAGGGTGGAGTGGCCATTTTATACAAAAGCACTGTAAGTGTTGACATAAAAAGTCAAGATTTTACTCAGTCAATGGAGTATATTGATGTTTGTGTGTCATTTGAAAACACTCCTTGTGAGTTGATTGTAATTAATCGTCCTGGTACAAATCCAAATAATGGTCAGTTTGCCCCAGTCTCAGTTTTCTATGATGATCTCACAAGCATATTGGATAGTCAATGTTTCAACTTACGATGTAGTAATTGCCGGGGATTTCAATTTCAACTTAAATGATTGTAATAATGCTGAAGAGTCACAATTCAAGGTTATATTGTTTGCATACGATCTAAAACAGCATGTTCGTGACTCTACACATGAAAATGGACATATATTGGATTTGATTATCACAGGATCATCGTCCAATTGGGTAAGAAATGTAAAGGTAGAACACAAAATTTCCAATCATTTTGGGATAAAATGCCATCTATTCTTTGGAAAACCACGTAAGGAAATGAAAATAGTAACTTTCAGAAAGCTTACACAGATTGATTTTGAGAAGTTTAATTCTGATCTGGGTGACAAATTTGAATCATTGCAGCAGTTCACTGACGTTGATGCCCTTGTTACGGCATATGATAGCACCTTATGTAAGATCCTTGATAAACATGCACCTGAGCAGGAAAAAATCATAACCATACGATATAAGCGCCGGAGCTTCACTGGTGACCTGCGGGAAGAAAATAAGAAAAGGAGACGACTTGAAAGACGATGGAGGAGAACAAAGTCAGCTGTTGATAGAGACAAATTTGTTTAACAAAAGCTTAGGCTAAGAAACTTGCTAGAAGAGTGAGACACAGCGTTTTATTCTAATTTAGTGATGGAAAATTCACAAAGTACAAAAGGATTGTTCAAGGTTCTGAACAATATAGTGAAAAAAAGACAGAGTCTCCCCTTCCTAAACATGACTCTACTCTGCAGCTTGCAAATCAATTTGTAGATTTCTCTGTGGGAAAAATTGAGAAGATTCAAAATCATTTTGACCTGGCCATGAATAGGGATGAAAATTGTAATGTTGTACCAGAAGGACCCTACCCTGGGTACCAGACTCACTATATAAAATAATAGAGTCTGGTCTAGTGCGCCCCATTCTCGTTCTGGTGAACTTACTTGAAAGAACCGAAGTCTATTTAACAGACTAGGCTTGTGAAACAAGACTGTCAGATAAATAACAAAGAAACTCAGTAGTCAGAGGAGTTTTGGGAAATCTTAAAGCAAATGTGTTTTATTTGGTTCTTTAAAGTCGACATTTTTAATACAGTGATAATAGACTTTTCTGCCTCAAGATAACAATCAAATCAGGTTTAAAACGCCATTTGGCAGCAAAAAGCATGTGCGAAGCATGAAATTAAAGTAAGCACAATGCAGTTATTAAATGTTAATCATTATCAAATTTCGTATACAACTTAAAATAAGTCTTTTGTAATTTTCCTCATAAATTGTGTGTACTTTGAACGTCTACTTCCTCACTGTGAAGGCAGCGGGCTTGCACACCGCGGCGGTTAGAATCATCACGTTGGAAGGTCACCACAGCAAATATGGCCAATACGACAAGCGAAGCCCCGTATGCCAGGCGAAATATTAGCTATAACTGATTTACTGTGTTTGTTGTTGTTTGTTCTCGGCGCCTTGCGGTGTTTCTTATCTACTGCATTTCACTACTACAAGGCCTAATTTCTTTGCAACGAGAGGCACAGCCTGAAATATCAGATACTTTCCAAAGCCAGTTGGCAATATGGCGAAGGTGTCTCTTTTCTTTACAAACAAGGCTTTCAATGCTGTTCTGTTTTCAGTTCCACAACATGCGGAAAATATTCTTTGAGTACAGTTTTAACAGCATCTTCAAACTCAATCGTTACGGTCGCTAGCATTTATTTATGTTCTATTCTGTTCAATGTTTTACACCAGAGCTAAGTTTATTGTTTTGCTGTGACCTTTGAACGTACAGAAATCTGTACACTCGCTCCTGATTGGTTAATATCAGCACACCAGAACGAGAATGGGGCGCACTAGACCAGACTCTCTATTTTATTTCATATATAGTGAGTCTGGTACCCAGGGTAGAAGGACCCAAATATAGGACCCAAATGACTACATTTTGTCATCAAACTGAAGATAATGTTGAGAAACTTATAAAAAAGTAACCAATAACAGTATGTGATCTAGACCCAGTGCAAACATCGATTTTGAGGCGTTTGTAAACCTTTTGTAAAAATCATGACTCTGATAATTAACACGACATTGCAGACTTCAGTTATGCCAAAACGTTTTAAGCTAGCTATTTTAGACCCACTTTTGAAAAAGCCAGGTCAGGAACTTAAAAATGCCAACTTCAGACCAGTTTCCAATTTGCCTTATGCCTCAAAGCTTATTGAAAAGGCAGTTGCAAATCAATTTATTCAGCATATGGTGGAAAATGATCTTTTTGAGCCATTGCAAACTGCATATAAAGAGGGACATAGTACAGAAACAGCATTACTGAGAGTTCAAAATGACTTACTGATGGCAATGGATAAACAAAAAGTCGCTATTCTTGTTTTGTTAGATCTTTCAGCAGCGTTTGATACAGTAAACCATTCGGTATTACTAAAGAGACTTTTCAACAGATGTGGAATTCAAGGGGCAGCTTTGAAATGGTTTGTTTCATATCTAGAACATCGTTTTCAAATGGTTAAAGTTAAAGGTAAAAAATCAAAGGAGGTACCTCTATCTAGTGGTGTTCCTCAAAGATCAGTGCTGGGCCCATTACTTTTTCTTGTATACACGCTGCCCTTAGGAGACATTGTTCAGAAAAGAGGCATGAAGTTGCACCTCTATACTGATGACACGCAACTCTATATGTCATTTTCACCATCTCCAGAATGTGCAGCTCTCTCAATACAGCAAATCGAAGTGTGAATTCAAGAAATTCAGTCCTGGATGCTAACAAACAGGCTGTTAGTGCAAATAGCCCTTGGTCGTTGAGTTAAAGCTATTTTTTATCTAGCCTCGTTTTACATTGCATTGTTTTTCTTTACGCCTCTTAGTATTCGTTTCATTAGCCAAATTTGGTATTTTCGTTTTGCGTGTTCTCCTTTCGCCTTTCCTCGTTTACTTCCGATAGCTATAAAAGATTTGCACCCCAAGTTTTTGGGTTGGTTATTGACTCGCCTTGCATTGCGCTGTGTTGGGGGGCAGTTTTCTATCGTTTCACATGCAGTTTTTGGCCTGGTAGTTTCCACATGCTGTGTTTGGCCGTCGTGCAAAATTTTTATGGCTACGAGGACTAATAGATTGTAAGTTTGAACCACGTTTAACACATCACCTCAGAACCTGTGTTGTTTCTTGCTGTGTTATCTGCTGGGGATTTAGGTGTGGTGCATTCGATATACCAAAAGTAGTCAGAATTACAAATTGTGGACTACATTAGTTCGAATCTAGTTCATTTGGAAATTTCATGCTGTGATGAATGAACAGACGTTTAGAGAAGAGAAGATGACTATTGACGAGGTGTTGATTTCTGGTGTAGATGTAAGAAGTGAGAACCCCAATATAGATTATGGTGGCGTTGTTTCGAAGGAACTAATGAGGCTGAAGCAGGTCAGAGCCAATGCAAAGCGTGAACTGACGAAGGCAATTAACCGTGTTTCTCATTCCCTGACTGTTGGCAAAGAAACTGGACAGATGCAGGTGATTGAAAGAAGACTGGACGAAGCGTTCCATAACTTCAAAGAAGCATGGGTGAAAGACAAAAATTTACTTGATGATGATGATGACCTTGAAGAGTCAACAGCATATTTTCATGAAGCAAAGACGAATAACCTGTGTTCAAAGGACAGGGTAGCTCTCTGGTTAGAATCAAGGAAGAAGCAACTGCTTGAAAGGGTAAAACCTCCTGATATCGAGCCAAAAGACTCCATAAGCCAATCTAAATCTTATTTTTCTCGCCATGGCTCTTCTTCTTCGCGTCGGAGCAAGGCTGTAATTGCTGAGAAGCAGTTTAATAATGCAACAAAGATGGCGTCATTGCGTGCAGAAGCGTCGATGCTAGAGCAACGTCAGAGAATCGCAAATGAAGAATTGAGAATCAATCAACTGAAAGAAAGCTTTAGAGACCCAGTTAGCAGACCACGACTTTGTCAGGAAGCTGTTGTGAAGAAGAATTTGGCGAAACTCAAGATGGCTTCATGCACGATCCAATAGGAGCTTCATTAAACATGAAACAGACGAAAGAATTGGCGTTGAAGACCTCCACTGCCTTAATATTCTCAGATCCCTGCCGGCAGAAAGCAAGCATTTCACCTCCAGAACAGTTAAACATCAAGCCTTCCCTCAATGGTATTGCCACAAAAGAAATTTCAGGAAACCATGCTACCTTTAGTGGATTGAATCCCATGCTCCTCTTTGTTGGGCGGGCTATGGTGATACAATGAAAGAATCACCTGACGAACACAACGTTTCTCAGCAGTTGATTGACATCCAAGATCCCATGGAAAACGCTGTGACGAACATGCCCCTCCGAGGAGGTCAGACAATACCTATATGACGAGAAATCCATTGATGGGATATATTGCAGCCCCGCAACAGGCATTTGATATAAACGCTCCTACATGGCAACCCTGTGGAAACCCTGTTTTTAACGAAAGTGATGCACTGGAGGTCAAAAATCAGAGACAACCAAAAGAAGTTGCAAAGGTCCATTCGAAAAATTGTAGCCTACCTGGAACTGATGAAGGAATAAATTTTTTGGAGGCAATGAAGGCCCTAGCAACTGCTGCATTGTTACCAAGGGCAGAGCTGATGCATTTTGACGGTAACCCCTTGAATTATTTTTTGTTTATGACTTCTTTTGAAAACAACGTTGAAAAAAGTACTCAAGATTTCAGCAAGAGATTACAACTCCTGATACAGTTCTGCACTGGAAAGGCAAAGAAGGCAATTCAGAGCTGCGTTCTTCTGCACCCTCATGAAGGGTATTTTCAGGCGAAGAAAATTCTTTCAGAACGATTTGGTGATGCATACAAGGTTTCAAGAACATGGCTGACTAAAATCATGGATGGTGCACAAATCAGGCCTGGTGATGGTGAAGCATTGCAGGATCTTGCTGACGACTTAGAAAGTTGTGAAATTACACTTCAAGTGGCAGGACGACTTTATCAGCTGAACAACAAAGACAGTTTGCTCAAAATTTTGAAGCAATGCCCGGTGTATGTAAGATCTTGTTGGCAGTCACATGTTCAAGAGTTAATAGCACAAGGAATGGACCCGAGTGTCAAAGACATCAGGAAGCTCATCAGATTGGCAGCAAGTGAAAAATGTGATCCAGTCTATGGCAATTTGATGGATGGTGACAATAAAGAATTAAGAGACAGAAAAAGAGCAAACAACCAAACAGGAGCAATGAAGACCAATATCAACTTCAGCATACAAACAGGTGCAGCAAAGGATAGCAGTGATGGCTTAAAATGTTACTTTTGTGATAAAAACCATAGACTGGAGTCATGTGATGCTTTCAAGTTGGAAGATGGTGAGAAACAATTCAAATTTATTAGACAAAGGAAACTTTGCGACAATTGTTTATCTAGCTTTCATTTTTCTGCTGGTTGCAAAAGACGAAAGGCATGCACAGTGCTGAATTGTGACATCAGACGGAAACATCTTGCTTCGATACATAATGCAGTTAAAAAATTTGAGACAAGTCGATGCAGTGAACAAGTTATCTCAGATCAACATGGGGAATCGAAAAGGCAAAATCAATTCAGTGGCCTAACAAGTAACAATGGTGGTTGCAGCTCTGGTCAAGGACTGCCAATTGTGCCGCTCAAGGTTAAGTGTCGAGGCATGAACAAAATAGTCACGACGTACGCTCTGTTAGACAGTGGATCTACCGCTTCATTTTGCAGTGATGATCTCTTGAAAGAACTAGGCATAGAGGGTAAAACATGCCAAATTCAACTGGCAACTATTGACGGCGTACGTGATGAATGTCAAACTGCTATGGTGACCCTAGAAGTTGCGAACTTTGAAGAGGATATCTGCATTCAGATTGACAATGTTTTTTCAACAAAGAGTTTGAATATACCCACAACAGCGATTGCTCAGCAAAAAGATGTAGATTTGTGGTCTCACCTCAATGGAGTCAAAATGCCAGAAGTAATAGCTGATGCAAATGTCAACCTTTCAATTGGAGTAGACACTCCTGAGGCTTTGGAACCTAGCGCAATTAGAAACAGTGAAGGTGGTGGACCCTTTGCCGTGAAGACTAAGTTCGGTTGGACCTTGAACGGACCACTTGGCAGAGATAATGCTGCAGGTAAACGTTGCTTTTTCTCCAAATCGAATGCTTGTGATGAACAACTTCAACAACAACTTTTGCAGTATTTTAACCGGGAATTTGACCAGGTGACAAGTGACAACAAGAGAGGTTTATCAGTACAACAGGCTAAAGCTAAACTGAGACAAGATTTAATTATTGGTGATCGGAACGCGGAAAAAGTGCGCAAAACTGTCAAACCTGTGTGTCAACATTGGAAATACTACAATTAAACCAAGTGAAAAAGCACGAAATCTTGGTGTAGTCTTTGATGCTAATTTGTCACCTAAGTCACATATAAACTCTTTGTGCAACTCACCTAGGTACTACTTGCATAATATCCGCCTAGCTCGGAAGTATCTCACTAAAGAAGCTGCTGTACTGAATTATAGCTTAGACCCCCTGAATCCATTTTTGTTATAGCCTCGTTTTGATTAGAGACCACGTTTTTTTGTAAAAGTTGATAGTTTTTGTTGATCGATATAGCTTGCACTCGCACAAATGTTTTTCTCTATCGTAAAGATATTCTCCGAATGTGTTGATTAGGATATTTTACGACACAGTGGCACCTCCGACGGGACATTGGATGTCCGTGTTATGATTTTGAGAAGTGGAGTGCTAAAAGCAATGGGATCAACCGGCGATAAAGACGAAGAAACTGGCGCTGGTGTAGGAGGCGATGAATCGTCACAAGAAATGGATAGTTATGGTATTGATAGACCAGAAGATAGTTTAAAGAATCAGTTAGAAGTTCTTATTGGAGATCGGGAACTGATAATGGTGGCAATAAAAGATTTTGTTATGGAGTTAAAGGATATCTCGGAAATTGATGGTGGTATTGATGAACAAATCGAGTCAAGAATAATGGAGTTAAAGCTGATTGTAGAGCCTATGTTGATGGATATAAAATCAGTGTCGAAGGATATTCAAGAGATAATGAAGAAATTGAATTTTAAGTCAGAATTGGTAAGAGAGTACACAACAAGTCGTTCATATGATGCAAAAATAGGTATGTTACTTAACAAATGTTCAAAGAAGAAACAGAATGATTCTTCTCGACAAGCAGCTGGTAAGCCTACTACTACTAATTCATTTTTCTCAATGAACTCACCCCATGAAGGAAGATTTGGAAATGAACAAGGACACAGCCAGTATCCTGTTGGGGGGTTTGAAAGACAATATTCTATGTACCAACCTTTAGGGCAACCTTTTAACCCCTATATGCAAAATTATTTCCCACAACCTCCCTGGCAACCTCAGTATTCACCAAGTATGGGAAGAAGAAATACTGGGGAGAATTTGAGCAGTAAATTAAGGTTGCCAAAACTTGAATTGAAATCATTTGATGGGAATATGATGAATTGGATGGAATTTTGGGACTCTTTTGAAAGGAATATTCATTTGAATTCTTCATTGTGTGATGTTGACAAGATGTCTTACCTAAAGGCTTCTCTTAAGGGTACTGCTTGTCATGCGATTGCGGATTTGCGAACTACTGGGGACAATTATGCGCCTGCAGTTGACATTTTAAAAGAGAAATATGGTAAAGCTAATGTATTGAAGGGATCTCACATGTCTGCATTAAAGGCTGTTGTTGCTGTAACTTATTCTAAAAATTTAGATGGGTTAAAAAAGTTGTATGAACTTGTTGATATGCATGTAAAAGCATTATCTGTATTAGGTACCTCTGAAGAACAGTATTCTTTAGTTATTGTACCAGATTTAATGAAGAAGATACCAAGAGATGTTGAACTTTCCATCAGAAGAACAATGTCTGTAGACCATGAGTGGACCATGAGTGAATTTTTGAACAAGCTCAGAGAGGAACTTCTGTTCAGGGGTATGGATGAAGCAACACCAAGAGTGCAGAATTCAAGAGAAGAGAGGAATCCTAACAAAGGAAAAGCATTTGCTATTTCACCAAATGCAACCTGTGCTTTTTGTCTTGGAGAGCACAGTAGTGCTGACTGTTCTGTTGTCACTGAAGTGAAGAAGAGGAAGTCAATATTGATGAGGTATAAGAGATGTTTTTGCTGCTTGAAGAAAGGTCACCGTGTCAAAGATTGCTACAACAAGAAGCCTTGCAGCAAGTGCAATGAAGGGGAGCATCACCCTGTGATATGTGAAAAAGAAGAGAGTGTTCCAAATATGCATGTTGTCACACCTGGTGGAATAGCATATCAAACTGTGTTAGCCAAAGTGAATGTCAAGGGAAAGCCAAGTATTATTTGCAGATGTCTGTTGGATACAGGGTGTGATAAGACATACATGTTGCAAAAAACTGCTAATTTGCTGAAATCCAAGCCATTAAGACAGGAAAGAAAAGTTCTGGACACTGTGCATGGAGAAAGGCAACATATCTGCTCAGTGTACAAGATAGAAGTAAAAGACATGACAGAAAAGCTGAAATTTGAAACTGAGGTGTCCACACTCAGCAAGCTGACATCTGTCAAGAATGTGAAGCCCCAGATTTTAAAGAAAAAATTCAACCATTTGAAGAACCTGGAATTTTCAGATATTTCAAGTGAAAGAGAACTTGAAATTGATGTCATCATTGGATTGGAAGACCTTTGCAAGCTCAAAACAGGAAACATGAAATGGGGAAATGCTGGTGATCCTGTTGCAGAAGAAACAACACTGGGTTGGACTCTAATGGGACCAACAAACTCAGCAGAGGATCAAAGTTGTTCAAGTTCACTGCTGTTGACAACTGATAAGGAAAATCTGAGCAATCAGATAGCCAAACTGTGGGATTTGGAGACAGTAGGGATCAGGGAAGAAAACTCAGTGGAAGAGAAATTTGAAGATACAGTAACTTTCAATGGAGAGAGATACAGTGTGCAGTTGCCATGGAAATCAGATAGAGTCAATTTGCAAACAAACAGAAATCTTTGTGAAAGGCGGCTAAATGCGCAACTCAGAAGATTAAAGAAGGAACCGGAAATATTAAAGAAATATGATGATGTCATTAAAGATCAGATAGAACAGGGTATAATTGAGGAAGTACCAGATCATCCTACAGGAGAAAGAATCCATTTCCTACCACATCATCCAGTAATACGTGAGAATGCGGAGAGCACAAAAGTCCGAGTTGTATACGACGGGTCAGCAAAAGAAAGAAAAGGAGACAAGAGTTTGAATGAGTGTTTATACACAGGACCATCATTGCTACCTATGCTACATGATGTGCTGTTGAGGTTCCGGATGTTTCCAGTGGCGCTTGTTGGTGACATCAAGAGTGCATTCCATCAGATCTTAGTTGATGAGAAGGACAGAGACAGTATGAGATTCCTGTGGGTGGAAGATGTCACAAATGAGAAACCTGTGGTTAAAGAATACAGGTTTACTAGAGTCATTTTTGGAAGTGGACCAAGTCCATATTTGTTAAATGCAACATTGCAAAGGCACCTCAAGAAGTACGAAGAAGAAGAACCAGCAGTTGTCCAAAATGTCTTACCAAACATGTATTGTGATGACCTTGTGAGTGGAGCTGCTGACAGTACGCAAGCCATAGAGTTGAAAGACAAAATTACAGAGATTATGAGAAAAGGAGGTTTTTCAACTCCATAAGTGGAAGACCAACCATGTGGAGGTCAGAAAGCACATAGAGGAGAAAAGTGATCAAAAAGATTCAACTACAGTGACGTATGCAAAGGAAAGCCTAGGTACCAAAGATTCACAAAGTAAAATTTTAGGATTAAAATGGAATCCAGAAGAGGACACACTAGGAATTAGTATGGAAGCAGTGCTAGATGTGAAGAATGGTAAAGTGACGAAGAGAGAAGTCCTAAGCAGACTGTCAAAGGTATATGACCCACTGGGTATTGTGGGCCCAGTTGCAGTTACTGCAAAACTGATATTCCAAGATATCTGCAAGGAAAACAAGGATTGGGATGAGTCAGTAAGCCCAGAGATTGAAATGAGATGGAAGAAATGGATGCAAGCTGTTTCAAGGTTGACTGAACTCAAGATTCCCCGATGCATTATGCCAGCAATCGGTGGACCAAGGAAGATTTCAATTCATGTTTTCGGTGATGCAAGCAAGGCTGCATATTGCACTGCTGTATACCTTGTATGGCACAAAGAAAACCAGTCAGGTGCACACCTTGTTACTGCAAAGACAAGGTTACCTCCAATAAGGAAAGAGATGACAATACCCAGGTTGGAACTAACAGCAGCAAGGATCGCAGCACGGTTGTTGAAAACAGTCAGAGAAACTCTAAAGAACTGGGAGCTAGAAGAGCTAGTTCTGTGGTCTGACAGCAGCACAGTGCTACATTGGCTAGAGAATCGAGGTCAATACAGACAGTTTGTCCAGAGAAGAGTAGATGAGATACAAGCATTGACAACGGATGTAAATTTAAAATATGTGCCCACAGCTGAGAATCCTGCAGATTTGGGCACAAGAGGATTGTCTCCCCAGCAATTAGAGCAAAGCAAGCTTTGGTGGAATGGACCAGAGTTCATAGTGGATGGAAATTATCCCCACCAGCCTCACCTGATCGAAACAGTTGAAAGCAAGGCTGAAGAAAGACAGTGTACACTTCCAATTGCTGAAGAAGAACCAAGTCTGTCAATCAACAATTTAGTGCCTGCGGAAAACTATGGCTCATATGGCAAACTGTTGAGAGTTACAGCTCTTGTGCTTAGGTTTATAAGTTGCCTCAAGGAGAAGAAAAGGCCAGATACTCAAATGTTGCGTGTAGAAGAGATCCAAGAGGCAGAAGAATTGTGGATAAAAGATACACAAGTGATGGTGAAAGGAAGAAATAGTTACTCTCAAATAAAGACACAGCTTGCAGTGATAGAAATCAATGGAATCTTACACTGCCAAGGACGTCTTCAAAACACAACACTACCAGTTGAAAGCAAGTTTCCAATACTGTTACCCCAGGATAGCAGATTTACAAGTTTGCTAATTTCAGAGTGTCACAAGCGTACAGGACACGGGGGAGTAAATACAACATTAGCGGAAGTCAGAAGCAAGTTTTGGGTCTTAAAGGGACGCCAGGCCGTGAAGCAACAATTGCGTCAATGTATGGTTTGCAATAAGCGAAATGCAAAGCCATGTGCACCACCTCAATCTGGACAGCTACCAGCAGAGAGGGTGGTTCGAGGCAACCCGTTTAGTACAACCGGAGTTGACTTTGCAGGACCTATATATTTGAAGAATGAAGAGAAGGCATATGTTGCACTATTCACATGCGGCATAACCCGTGCAGTACACTTGGAGCTCACAGAAGATATGACAGCCAATGAGTTTAGAGGAATGTTTCGAAGATTCATCAGCAGACGTGGAGCACCTGCTACAGTAATAAGTGACAATGCAAAAACATTCCTTGCCACTGCAAAGCACTTGAAGAAGATATGTGTAGAGCAAGAATTGCAGGATTTTTTGTTGGCCAACCGCATTGATTGGCATTTCAATGTAGCTAAGGCACCGTGGCAAGGCGGCTTCTTTGAAAGATTAGTTGGAATAACCAAGACAGCATTATTCAAGACCATGGGAAAGGCAAAACTAACCTTTAGAGAGCTGGAAAACATGTTGATAGAAGTTGAAGGAATGATAAATAATCGACCACTTACCTATCAAACATCAGATTTAGAGGAAGAGCCCCTCACTCCAAATCATATGATTCATGGTCATCGACTAGCAATGATAGGAGATGTCAAGTATGACAACGATGCAGATTTTGATGACAAGAACGTGAACAAGAGAATAAAGTTCTTGAGAGCTAAGCTAGAGCATGTATGGAAT